TTTGAATTTTTACATAGATATTGTTAAACTGAATTACAATGTAACATTATTTCAACCAAGTTTTGACATTTTATTCTCCAAAAAGTTATTTGAAACCTTAAAAGTAGACACTTTACTTACATTTAATGTGCTTTCTATGGACATAAAATCACTTTTGTAAATTTCTTTTGATGCAGACATCTTAATGTCTTTGACCCATGTACATTAAAAAAAAATCTTTTGTACAATAGTGTAACTTTTGAAGTGCAACAAGACGTGTGATTTGATCCCTCAAATTTGAGGAGAGTTGTGCTTTTCTAAGTGGCCAGACTATATCAGAACACCCTAGCAACCACCTAGAAAGTCTTTTTGAAGTCTCTTTGGATAAAAGCATCTGATAAATGAATATAAATGTAAATGTGGGGGTTTTTCCTTTTTCAGAAAATGCAAAAATCGAGTTTCTTTGTAGAACATTGGCTAAATCTTTAATCGAATGCATTTGCTGTTAGCAACCATTACATATAAACTTTGACCTAATAGTGTACCTCACTTGTGGTTATTTATAGACGTTTGAGAGAGCTGCCTTGTGATTGTAACCAGTTCTCGTATTGGGAAATCATATTGACTCACTGACCTGGTTTGACTATAGTTGCACAGTTTTGTCTTGGTTTTGTGTGTAGGCCGAGCAGTGAGCTAAATCAGGGACGTGGAAGGGTGAAAGCAGGCCATGTCGCGGGTTCCCACACCCCCTCCCCCAGGGGAAATGACATCCGGACCTGTGGCAGAAAGCTGGTGTTATACACAGGTGAGAGAGACTAATCGTTCTGAGTTGAGAGCACCAGTCATAAATATCCCTGTTTTTTTTTTCCACAGGTGAAAGTCGTGAAGTTTTCTTACATGTGGACGATTAACAACTTCAGCTTCTGTCGGGAGGAGATGGGAGAAGTCGTAAGGAGCTCGACCTTCTCCTCAGGCCCCAACGACAAGATGAAATGGTGTGTTTCACTGTGTTCGGAGTGTTGTCCAAAGCTCTCAAGTGGCCTCTTAATTCTTCTCTCTAATGCCTCGCCATCCTGCCCAACCAAACACACTCACATACACGCACAAATACAGGCTTGCCCTTTCCAAATATCATTGTTTGTGAAACAACAGTGGCCCATTTTGATTTAGGTTGGGATTACACTGGGCCGTCTGGGACAAATTTTGAGAATTGCGAAAGATTTCTTTTGTCACTAGCAGCCGATTAATTGCTTTTACGTTGAATCTTTTGTCTCTGAAGATCTAGATATTCCGATCGCAGTCCTGGAGTGTGACTACTCCTACGATGGCCGTTCCCAAACTAAAAAATGGCTGAATTTATGAGTCATATAACATATTACAGAATTGTGTGGTAATGGATGTTCAGAAGCAGTGTTGTTCATGCCATTTCAGTGGTTTAAAAATATAGATCTCTAAATAATACACTGCCGGTAAAAAGTTTAGAATAATTAAAGGGGTCATATGAGAATGTTGTTGAAAGAAGTTTATTTGATTAAAAGTTTCCACAAAACTGTTAAACAACAAAAACTGTTTTCAGGATTGATAATAGTAAGAACCATTATTAATAATTGAGTACTGATGATAATTTGAGCAGAAAATCAGCATATTAAAATCATTTCTGTGACACTGGAGACGGAAGTAATGGCTGAAAGTTCAGCTTTGCCATCACAGGAATAAATTGCATTTTAAAATATATTAAAATAGAAAACAGTTATTTTAAATTGTGATAATGTTTTGCAATATTACTGTTTTACTGTATTTTGAATCAAATTAATGCAGCCTTGATGAGCATTAGAGACTTCTTCCAAAAATAATTTCAAGCATTTGACCTCTAGTGTATATTTAAATTAGCATTTTATTTTATATGGACACATACAGTGTTTTCCAAATTATTAAAAGTTATTTATAAATTATTACAATTATTTCCGATTTAAAAAAAAAATTTTGTACTACTCTTCCCTTCTTTTTTTTTTTCTTTTTTTTCTGCAGGTGTTTGCGAGTGAACCCAAAGGGACTGGATGATGAGAGTAAAGATTATCTCTCTCTGTACTTATTGCTTGTCAGTTGCCCAAAAAGTGAAGTGAGAGCAAAGTTCAAGTTTTCTTTACTGAACGCCAAAAGAGAAGAAACTAAAGCCATGGGTAAGAGTTTTCCAGACACTCACAGGATTGAGTTTGGTAATGTGGAATAACTGTTTTATTCATATTTGTGCTTCTTTTGTTCTGCCCACATTTCAGAAAGCCAAAGAGCCTACCGCTTCGTCCAGGGAAAAGACTGGGGCTTCAAGAAGTTCATCAGGAGAGATTTCTTGCTGGACGAAGCTAACGGACTTCTTCCTGACGACAAGCTCACTCTGTTCTGTGAGGTACCGTAACATGTCACGTTTCAAGTACACTAAATATTTGGATTTAGTAATGTCCTTGCTTCAAACCAGTGACCCATTTGTTTAGGTAAGTGTGGTCCAGGACTCTGTAAACATCTCTGGCCAGTCGAACACAAACATGCTGAAGGTTCCGGAGTGTCAGCTTTCTGACGACCTGGGTAACCTGTGGGAAGGCTCCAGGTTCACAGACTGCAGCTTGTTCGTGGGAGGGCAAGAGTTCAAAGCGCACAAATCCATACTGGCAGGTGAGTTTAGTCATCCCAACACGGCACTGACAGACGTTTGGGGTAGACCCAGATTTTGCCTTGCTAAAAAGGCAAGCTGCACAGACAACATTTCAGTGAAATGATAATGAGGCACATGATGAATTTGGCAGTACTTTACACACAGATGATTCACATAAAACTGATGATTCGTGTTTCCTTTGACAGCGAGGTCGCCAGTATTCAATGCTATGTTTGAACACAAAATGGAGGAGAGTAAAAAAGTAAGTGATAAGATAAACACTACCAGTCAGAAATGGACAAACCTACTCTTGATTCTTTAGTATTACTGTTTACCACATTTTAGAATAACAGTAGTTATAATAAAGTAATAATAATAGTATATCTAATATTTAGTAGAATTTTCATCTATTTTTATTATTTTAAACTAATTATTCATTTATTTTATAATTTAAATAAAACATTTTAAAATAAAATTATATAATTTAATAATTTATTTATATTAAGAAGAACCGTGTGGACATCAGCGATGTGGAACCGGATGTTTTTAGGGAAATGATGGTATTTATTTATACTGGTAAAGCTCCTAACCTAGAGAAAATGGCCGACAACCTGTTAGCTGCTGCAGACAAGGTAATACACTCTTGCTCTGAAGGAAGAGCGCTTTTGTTTTGTGTTCGTGCTGCTGTGATTGACCTGCGGTCTGTTTTCTTCTTTCTTTTTAGTATGCTCTGGAAAGATTAAAGGTTTTATGTGAGGAGGCTCTCTGTAACAGTTTATCTGTAGAGAATGTGGCTGACATCCTCATTCTGGCTGACCTGCACAGCGCAGAGCAGCTTAAAGCACAAGCCATAGACTTCATTAATAGGCAAGAACACACACTCAGTTCATACTCATTCAAAAAAAAATCCTTTGTATACTTTACAGTTCTTTGTTTTCGGAACATTTAAACATAATTGTAAACATTGTAAATTTTTGCAAATTTAATGACTCGCAGGTTTAATTGGGCTGTTTTGAAAGGATACATGATGGAAGAATTTAGAGCAGAAATATAATATCTATATTATAAAAATATTGATCTCTATTAATATTAATATATAATCTCAATATTGAGGTTGAAGGGAAAATCATGTGCAATTTTTCTATGGTCACTTTGCATAAATGACTGATTAAAAGCAATGCAGACAATTATATTAATTGGAATAATTTGGCTGCTAAATATCTAATTTGTGACAGCGGTGGCTGCAGTGCATTCTGGGAGCTCTGTGTGAATTCTGCTCTGGTCTCTTTCCTCAGATGCAGTGTTCTTAGACAGCTGGGCTGTAAAGATGGGAAGAACTGGAATAGCAAGTATGTGTGCCAACATGTTACCATCTCCCAGAGTCCTCTGCAAATAAACACATCTGTATTTAGCAGGAAGCTCCTGTTTGCATAGAAATCATGTGACTTAAGATATCCGTAAAACAAAATGATTCATGGCACAGCTTGTGGAGAGATTTTTTTCTTGAATTCCTTTCCATCAAAACATAAGATGGTGCCATTCTTGTTGTATGATCACGTTTTAAAGGAATGTTCTGGGCTCGATGCACTCTAAGCACTGTCAACAGTAAAGTAACTGCAAGCCTTTTTACTGTGGTAAAATCACTTTTACACAAGGCCATGGGTAGCTTTTAAAGATAGATATTTAGATTTTTAAAAAATGTTTTTATGCTCACCTAAAGCAGCATTTATTTAATCAAAAACACAGCAAAACAACATTGAGAAATTTTATTAGAATTTAAAATAACTGCTTTCTATTTAAATATTTTAAAATGTAATTTATTCCTGTGATTCAACGCTGAATTTTCAGCATCATTACTCCAGTCTTCAGTGTCACATGATCCTTCAGAAATCATCATAAATATATATATAAAAAATGTGTTTATAGAAATTCTTTTTTATATTTGATTTTTTTATTTGTTCTCTGGATCAGTTTGCACCATTACTTTACTGTACATGTGATATTTATTTTTACAGACAACATTCCACAGATGCTGTGGATAAAGCTTAACTTGTTTTGAACCCAGAACATTCCTTTAATTAGCATGATTTCACAGAATTAATAAAAACCCCAGATAATTTTTTTACTAATTTCATCAGCGTGTGACAAATGTTATATCATTTATAGATAGTAACCTTTAGGCTTGTTTTTGCTCATTCGCAGTCATGCTGCAGACATAATGGAGACTGCAGGTTGGAAAGCGATGATTCAGTCCCATCCTCACTTAGTGGCCGAGGCTTTCCGGGCTCTTGCTTCAGCCCAGTGCACCCCTTTCTATCGGGCGAGTACTGGAAAAAGTGGTATCGGTGCATCCCTATCTCCAATAGACACTAGCATGTTGCGCACACTCCATATTATTTTTGGTCTGTGGCTTCCAAAATCATTTAAATGAACTTTTATAAAACTTCTCTTCTTTTTAGTCTTCAAACATCTGGAGACAACTTAAGCTGAGATCAAAGCCAGCGTGCTGCAAATCCTCAAATGCCCTGTTCATCAAGCCATGAGATTGCACAGACTCTCACAGACATTGTGTGCATTTTTCAGATCAGAGTTTGTGCGTATGATCAGACCTTTGCGAATGAAACAGTTTTTTTTCTGCTGATGTGAAACAATGTCATCCTCTTGTTTTCATATGGCTGAATTTACAGAGGTTAAATTGCCAAAAAATCTGTTCCGCAATGAGACTCTCCTCCAGTAGTCAGAGGGATACTGAGGCTTTTAAGAAGATTTTGTAACAAATGTGGTACAGAGTTGACTTAAGCTTTGTCTGACTTCACAGTTTTTCTTTGTTTGCAGCATCTGTGCAAGGATTTCTGAAGTTGTACACCAAAAATCTGCCGACAGTCTTGGAGTCGAAGGAAGAAAAATACACAAGGGAGCATTCTGGAAACTAAAATCTAATCTTTTCTTTAATAACAGAAACAAAATACAAAAGAACTGAGGCGCACATTATGGCTTCAACATTAATCTTAGTTATTGACAATGTTTCTGTGAACACAAAAATATGTTGGCATGAAAAGGATGGCATCACAAATGGCTGCAATACAAGATGTTTTACTTTTTTTCTGTTCTTGAATCCCAGCTTACATATGATTTGGATATTTTAAAACATCACACTGATGACATCACAAGAGTCACGGAGAAAGGGTCAGGGGTCACTATGGAAACCACAGATGTGTTGCTCATGTCCAAGCTAGGTGTGAACCACATACTGTAAATCAGCCTTCAGGAAATCAGGTCTTAGCCTGGGTTAAGCATGGGTTCATCCAAAAATGAAAATTCTGTCATTTATTCACCCTCATGTTGTTTGACTGACTTTCTTCTGTGGAAAATGATGACAGACATAAACTATTTCTTTTTTGGGGTGAACTATTCCTGGCATCGACAGCCCTAAAGGATAAGTAAGATAGAATCAAAAGAGTGGTTCCTCAATCTGACCTTGCTTCCATTTGTCTAGCTCTTTGTGGAACAGAACAAGGAAACTACAGGCTAGAGAGGCTGTAACAACGAGATGAGACCTCAGTTACCAATCTAGGCTGTGCTATCCCACAGAGGTATACGGAGTGTCACTGTGGTAGTTGTAGTCTGGGCAGACCTTCTGTACTAGCTTGTAGTCTGCACTGAAGAAGTCAATGTAGATGCAGATGACCTTGAAGGGCTTGGAGCAAAGCCAAGACACATGGCTTTGGGTCTGTTCCTGGAAACATACCCTGTTCGGGAAGTCACTGCAAACGGACGTCCTCTTGCTACGGTCCGTCTTCTCATATTCCACTCGACAATTGAAGGCCTTATTGTCTTTAGGTACATCTATGGTTTCCTGTTGAGTGATCTCAAAATCGACAGCCTTGGAGGGCGGGACCAGGCTGACGGACACGTTGCCCAGGCCGGTGGAATTGTGGCGGAAATAGACACTGAAGGTTCCGTTGCCATGGTCAACAATTTTCCCGGTAATGAGAAGGTTTAGCTTGACAGTTTTGATGTTCGAATGGAAGTCGCCCCAGCCAAACATCTTCTTAAACTTGCCAGTTTTCACATAGGGACGACGTTTGGCCCTCGAGAGGGTTCCTTCGGTATCAGGGTGGTTGGATAACCAAGCCCACAGATCCAGTGCCCCAGGGTCCTGAGCAGTTTCACGGCTCTGACTGTTAGATTGGGACGTGTGGGAGAAAAGCCGCAGGGATTTGAGAATCCCTGAATGAGAGCCGTAAGGAGAGACGCTTTCCTCCTTATCACTCTCTCCCCAACCCAGAGGAGACACAGCTGCTCTGAGCTCTGCTCCACATGTCACCTTCAAAGACAAAACCAGGAAGGGAATTGTTAACCAAAGAGGTTGCAGATGCTAATGTATCTCAAGAAAAATAAAAAATCCAATCCAGTCCAGTGGACAAAAATAAAGGTTTATCCTAAAGCCAACATTAAAAGCCATTCAAAAACGACTCTACTTCCATTTTCCTGCGGGACTTTATCTATTGATAATTAACTGTATACAAATAAAAAGACTTTTTAGACACACTTTGGGATTTCTGACTTTTACACTAGTGGAATCCTTTGGAGAACTACTAAGAAACCTTTTGAAGGTGCTTCAGATATCCCAGTGACAATGTACCACACTCTAAAAAATAAAAGTTCTTTATTGGCATCTATGATTCCATGAAGAACCTTTATCATCCATGGAGTCTTTCCACAAAAGGTTCTTTATAGTGAAAAAGAAGTCTCTTTAGATTTGTAAAATGTTCACACTAAGAAAAATGTTAAATTTGTTTTTTTTAATTGTCCACCAAAAGGTTCGTTGAGGAACCAAAAATGATTCTTCTATGGCATTGCTATGAAAACCCCCTTCTGCAAGCTTTATTTTTGTGAGTGCAATATGTTTAGAGTTCGTGCAGGAACTGATTTCCATTTGGAAGGTTCTTCATAGAACTTCCTATACCATACTGAGAAGGTAGTAGTAGAAGATTTTAGATAAAATGAGAAGATGCTTGAGGCCCCATCCTGCCAAACCAGAAAAACGCTCTAGGAAATTGTAGGGTGCCTCAAATATCTAGACCACAAATGTCTACGAAGAAGAAATTATGATTAAAATTTTTTTTTTGCATTTAAGCATAAAAATATTTAGACTTGGTGAACATTTATATTAGGTTATTAAGGTTTTAAGAATTCCCCAAATACCATAAACTGATGTGCATATCCACATTCACATCTCAGATGTAAAATTATAGATGAATAATCTACTACAGTACAACATGACTAAAATCACAGCTAGCATGTAGAAAAAAATCAAAGGAGATGCATCACTACATAAATAATCAAAACATAAAGAGGGGATGGGAAACTGAGAGCTGTATGAGAGCCCTGTTTTAAATGATGCAAACAGGATGTAACATCTCACTGCAATGCAATTTTACTACCGACTCAATAAACACTATCTACCTCAAGCCTAAGACAGTGACACCCACACAGTCACAAACCCAGCAAAACTGGTTCCTAAAACACACCCATGACTCCTGCTATCATTTAGTGTCAAGTTTCATTTTAATATTACAGCCAATCAATGCGACAACTTTGTTTTGCACTGCAGTCGTGGTGAAATATGAATGAACAGAAAACAGCACAGGAAAGACCAAAGGAGGAAGATCAGGGAGGAGCTGCCCTACTCTCATTCTCTATCTTTCAACAAAGCTCAAAAGCCTCTAACATATACTTTCAAAGGCATCATTTGATAGAATGAAAGAGTGTATATGTCCCAAAAGGCTGTTTAGTCCCCATCTCCCCAAGTCTATCTTCAGCTTTCTCCATTATTTCTCTCTCTAAAAACCAAAGGGGGTAAATATTTGGGAGACACGTATAATTTGGGCTGTACACTTCACAATTCAAACCCGTGATGGTGAATGAGAAATAAAATCCAAATCTACTGTATGTTAACTTTGATTTAGTGCGAACTCATGATCCACAGAACAAAGAACTACCGACATCCTCTGCAGGTAAGGAGAGACAAGAGATGCCAAATGTGTAAAATGAAGGAGAAAATGTTACCAGAAATCACAAACAAATTAAGTGCAAAAACTAGTTAATTTTGGTCAATCATTATAAATCTGTGGAAATAATTATACTGAAGAAAAAATTACTTAAAATAAACGATAATAATGATGAACATTTTTATTTATTTTTAAAATTATGAGATTAGGTACTTAATCTGAAGTAAATACATTTTTTACAGTTCAAGGATGGCAATAAATTGAGGGGAAAAAATAACTAATAATAAAAATCTGACTTACTGATGGCAGTGAAAGAAAAGTCTCTTGAGAGAGGATTTAAGGCTGAGCCATCACAAAGGTTGTAATTTAATTTTAAACTGGCTTAAACTGGTTTCTGGGATAAAGTCTTCAATTAAACTGCGTTGGGTTTGTGAAGTCAATTCATATGCATTAAAATTAATCTTTGGAAATAAAAACACAATCACACACACATTTTGTTCTCCTCCTGAGAAATAAGCAAAATTGATGGATTAAGGGCCATACGGAAACTGGATTATTCAAAGATTTACAGAGGAAATTAGACAAAATGCCATGGCATAAAGGCATATTTGGATTATACAAACAATTTGGTCTCTTTACAATTAATTAATAATATAATAATAATATAATGTATTAATGTATTATTTTAAAAATTAGAAAATTATTCGTTTTTGAATTCATACCCACCTGTTTCTCAAATACTACACTACTCCAAAAAATAGCACGACAGTGAAGACAACTGGTATATAGAGATAAGTATTAATTGCAACAACAACAATAATAATAATACATAGTGTCTTTTTCCATCTTTCACAAGTAATACACCCTGGGAGAAGAAAAGGTTCATTAACTTTGTCAAACCAAATACACATATAATAGTTTGTTTTAATTAAAACAATTTAAATAAAACTCATACCATGTGCAAGCAGATCATAAGCAGGGCAGAGTAACACTGGCACATCTTCATGTGTTTTTTGAGTCCAGATCTGGCTTAGTAAAGATCAGGTCCACCCGTGGCAAGGTCTTGTGTCAGTATTCCTAAAAACACAAAAACCTATCATGCTCAAGACATGAGGAAATATAGGAAATTAGAACAAACAACAAATAACAAGAAATGGTCAAAAGGTACATTATTTCATGTAACGGTATAATTATGTTTGCATGTCATTGCCAACAAGTTAAAATGTATGTGAATGTACACAGAAAGTAAAAAGCTATAAAACTGGTTTACTGCATTAGGCTTTTACCATTTTATTAACCTTTTAACTTTTTTTGCAGACCCTGTGGTGTGACAAATAAATGTTAAAAATTACAAACACACCATGTAGTCTCTCAAATAAAATGAAGTCATAAAAACGTTAAATAAAATTACAGTAATGTTGTTTAAATTAGTTTTAAATGGAGTATAGAATGACACTGCAGGAAACTGCTTTCACAGCTTAAAATGTCAAGTACCTGAATAAGTACTGAGCAATATTAATGAACAAGCAATAATTTTGAGGTTTATAGTGATCTTTTGGTATATAAAGTCATGATATTACATGAAATAGGGGCACCAAACTAAGCAATGCAAAAGCGTTACCAAATAAATAAATTAATAGCAAATTATGTGTAATAATCAGTAATCAATTGTAGTATATAACTCACCCTTTTACTGTAGAGTTGAACCCATACATCTCTGTGCGGTGAGCATACTTATAGTGTAGTTATCGGAGTGCATAAAGAGATGATGAAGACAAACATCGCTCCTCGACAGTCCAAACTCAAAGTGACCAGCAATAAAAACTTATTTGCATTTGATTAAAACAATATAATCTTCTTCTTTACTCAGCGTGGCTCATGTCCAGCTGCATTAAATCCTCTTAGCTCTGCTCAATTGGCTGCATGCCTTTCCTCTGCAACACTCACATATCCTAACACGATTATGTGTGGATGTGATTGTCCATCCAAAAGAAAAAAATAATAATAATAATAAAACTGCTCTCTAAGCAGTGCCCTGGGTAAAAGTCCGGTTTTGCTGCATCCTTGCCCGCTCGCTCTTCCTAAACTGATGTTGTGTGATGGATCTGTGCGCTTTTAGGTTGTGACAGTGGAGTCACTGAGCCCAACCCCTTAACATCAGCACCAATAACAGCACACATCACACTAAAGCTTTTTATGTATGTAAATCCATTTAAAACCACTAAGTGTTAAAACAGCAGAAGACTTGCCTTGTGGGCCGTTTTTATTATTGACAAAAGTGCTATTCAGAAGCATTTTGGCTATTTTATCATCATGAGACTCTGCAAAAATAAAATACATTTTATGTAAATATAACACATCAAATTTTTACATTTCCATAGTATTATATTGATTTTTTTTTTTTATTATTAAATATTGGGATAGTTAATTGGGATAGTCTAAGATTCAGTGATTGTTTCTCAGGGTGGCTTGGTAATAAAAAGCTATTGAAAATTTAATCCACATAAAATAAAAATGAATGCACGTTTATCTTACCCTACATAGTGTGCTACTGGGGCTTCTTGTTACATTTTATGGGCTAAGTTATAATTACAGTAAGTTAAAAACAAAAAAAAAATATGTAAAAAGTAATATTCAAAAATCAAACCATTGTTTTGCCACACAAATTATAAATTTGCACAAGTTTATAAAATTTAACTCATGTAACAACTTCCCCCAAACTTTATGAAAAACCACAAATTAAATCTACCTTTCATAACATAGTTGACCCTTGCCTTTATGTATACAAGTGTAGTTTTATTGTCAACAGCTAATACAAAATAATTTGATTTAATAATAATTTTAATACAAAATATAATATTAGAATGTTGGCTTGGATGATAAAATTCAAACAAAATAATTTTAAATACAAGGTTTTACAAAAAATGTCAAACAAAACAGCTATTGAAATCATTTCTATAATTGATACTTTGTCTCAAAAACCTTCTACCTTCTATATATTATATTATATTTAATACTTCAGCCACAACCTCAATAATTAGGTATTAGGTATAGATGTCTAATAATCATTAACAATAAAATTTGTCCATTAGTGTGTCCAAAAACAGCGATGCAATAGAAGAACAATTTTGGTTTCCCAAAGAACCTTCCAATGAACAGTTCTTCAAAGAACCATTTTTTTTTCACAAAGAACATTTCCATCATATAACCATCAATTAAAAAATATTTTTTTAAGATTATATTTTTTATGTTTATATTGTATATTATATATATATATATATATATATAGTTTATGTATTGCTGACTCTGAAGGATATTTAAATCTAGTGATTAAAAAAAATGTCCCTGATCTACTGAAAAACAGGAAGTCCTGCATTATGTACAGACTCATAGATGTCAAAACATCATGTTAAGTTAATGTGATAAAAGTGTGAGAAAGTCTATTTTTTTTTAAGTCATATATTGTAATAATTAAAAATGGTTTAAGAAACTAAAGACTGAATATAGCGAGTGAATATATGCAAGTTTGTTTGGAAACAGCTCCGCTCTGTGGTTATTACAGTAACTGCAGTTCACGCCACTGTGGAGTTAACAGCATACACAAACAGATAATTTAATGCAAGACTTATTTACTCATGCAAATGCTAATGTTAGAACACAAACAAATGAACAATAAATAAACATTAGCAGACTTTTGTCAGAGAGGAGATCTATTAACAGAATTAGCAAAACTTGAACGACTAACAGAATTACAAAACTTCAATAGAGACTCATTTGCAGGATTCCTTAATAATCTGGTTCGGATTCTTCACCAGTGTGGCTAACATGGACATGAAGTTGGGCTTCTGTACGGCAGGTTTACCAGAGGTAGAGACTTTCTTCTGGTTCCCTCGTTTAATCTTGGGCTTCACGCTGAACAGATCTGTGGGCGTCCTGAACCCATCCGAATCCTCAGAAATCTCTTCCTGCTGCTCATTCTGAGCTTCACGAATCTCTCCACGCTTGTGCTTCTGTCGAGGGCTTTTCCTCTGTTCCGCAGTTTCCGCAGCAACAGTTTCAGGGGTGTCATCAAACATCAGCACCCGCCGCGTTCCGTCTATGCCATCAGACACTTCCTGCTTGTTCGATTTACCCCGGACATTAGTCGTCCTCTGTTTGCTAGAGACATCCGAGTTCTGCTTCAAATCTGCATTTAATCTTGAAATCTTGTCATCTACAAGAAGTTTGTCCTTCTGCTTCACACCGACACTAAGGTCGAGTGGATAAAGCTGCTGAGATAATGTGCTGTTCAAGGAAGGCTTCCTTTTCACAGAAAATTGCCAACCAGCAACGGGCGGCCAGACCACAGATCGTGACCTCTTACGATGCCGTGGTTTGGCTTTGGTAATGGACAGGTTGGTCTGAACGGAGAGCAGATCCTTGCAGCGACGCAAATTCCTAAATATATGCATATAAAAAATTATTTTACTAAATATATATATATATATATATACATGCATAATACTGGAGTATATTTCATCTTTCTTTGAATATTACAATTTTAAAGGGATAGTTCACCCAAAAATGAAAATTCTGTCATTAATTACTCACCCTCATGTCATTCCAAACCCGTAAGATCTTCGTTCATCTTCGGAACACAAATTAAGATATTTTTGATGAAATGTGAGAGCTCTCAGACCCTGCATAGACAGCAACGCTGTTTAGATTACGTTCATGCGCGCGCTTTCTCCTCCGAACATAAACAACGCTGATTACGTTGATTACGCTCTTGGGTACTCTCCAAAATGGC